GAGCCCGATGCGGGACTCGATCCAGGGACTCCAGGATCATGACCTGAGCCGAAGGCAGTCGCTTAACCAACTGAGCCACCCAGGCGCCCCTGAATCAAACAAGTCTATCAGTGCAATTTTCCCAACAGCATTTGCTTACCTCATGGCTCTGTATCACATTTTGGTAATTCTCTGAATATTTCAAACTTTTTCATTATTATCGTATTTGTTATGGTGATCTACAACCAGTGATCTTCGACGTTACTATTATAATTGTTCTGGAGTATCACAGACCACATCCATATAAGATGATGAACTTAATATACATGTTTTGACTGCTCCACTGACTGGCCATTACCCCATCTTTCTCTTCTCAGGCCTCCTTATTCCCTGAGACTCAACAATATTGAAATTAAGCCATTTAGGGGCACCTGGGTGGCTCAGTTGGTTAGGCATCTGCCTTTGGCTCAGATCATGATCCCAGAGTCCTGGGATCGAGCCCCGCATCAGGCTCCCTGCTCAGTGGAGAGCCTGCTTCTCCCTCTTCCTCTACCACTGCCCCTCCCCCTGCTTGTGCTCTGTCAAATAATTTTTTTTCTTAATTTTTTAAAAAAGGGAATTAGACCATTTATTAAATCTACAGTGGCCTCAAAGTCTTCTCAAAGGAAAAGACAGCTCTCACTCTTAAAATCAAAGCTAGAAATGATTAAGCTTAGTGAGGAAGGCATGTCAAAAGCCAAGACAGGCTGAAAGCTCGGTCTCCTGCACCAAACCATATTAAGGCAGCAAAGGAAAGGTTCTTTAAGTTCTTAAGCCTTTTTTTTTTTAATTAATTTATTTGACAGAGAGAGACACAGCAAGAGAAGGAACACAAGCAGGGGGAGCAGCAGGCAGAGGGAGAAACAGGCTCCCCACCAAGCTGGGAGTCCGATGTGGGGCTCGAGCCCAGGACCCTGGGATCATAACCTGAGCTGAAGGCAGATGCTTAACGACTGAGCCACCCAGGCACCCCAAAAGAAAGGTTCTTGAAGAAAATAAAAGTGCTACTCCAGTGAACATATGAATGATAAGAAGCAAAACAGCCCTAATGCTTATATGGAGAAAGTTTTAGTGGTCTGAATAGAAAAATCAAACCAGCCACAACACTCTCTCAAACCAAAGCCTAATCCAGGACAAGGCCCTATCTTATCTTCAATCCTATTAAGACTGAGAGAAGTAAGGAAGCTACAGAAGTTTGAAGCTAGCAAAGGTTGGCTCATGAGATTTATAGAAAGCATCTCCATAAGAAAGAAGTGTAAAGTGAAGCCACAAATACTAACGTAGAAGCTGCTGCATCAAATTATCCAGAAGATCTAGCTATGATAATTAATGAAGGTGACTACACTAAATAACAGATTTTCCATGTAGATGAAACAGTCTTATGTTGGAAGAAGCCACCTAGGACTTCACAGCTAGAGGGAAAAGTCAAAGCCTGGCTTCAAAGGACAAGCTGACTCTTGCTAAGGGCCAATGCAGCTGGTAATTTTAAGTTGAAACCAGTAATACTCATTTACCCTCTCAAAAATTCGAGGCCTGTTAAGAATTATGCTAAATCTACGCTGCCTGTGCTCTGTAAATGGAACAAAGCCTGTATGATGGCACATCTGTCTACAACATGGTTTACTAAATATTTTAAGCCCACTGTTGAGACCTACCGCTCAGAAAGAAAACACTCCTTTCAAAATCCTACTGCTCATTCACAAAGCAGCTGTTTACTCAAGAGCTCTGATGGAGATATACAACAAGGTTAAGGTTGTTTTCATGCCTGATAATACAATATCCATTCTGCAGCCCACAGATCAAGAGTAATTTAGACTTGCAAGTCTTACTATTTAAGAAATACATTTTGGGCACCTGGGTGGCCCAGTTAAGCATCTGCCTTTGACTCAAGTCAAGATTCCAGGGTCCTGGGATCAAGTCCCACATTGAGCTTCCTGCTCAGCGGGGAGTCTGCTTCTCCCTCTACCCCTCCCCCTGCTCATGATCTCTAATAAATAAATAAAATCTTTAAAAAAAAAATACATTTTGTAAGGCTGTAGCTGCTATAGGTAGATTCCTCTGATGGATCTGGACAAGGTAAGCTGAAAACCATCTAGAAAGAATTCACCATTCTAGATGCCATTAAGAACATTCACAATTCACGGGAATAGGTCAAAACATCATCAGCAACAGAAGTTTGGAAGAAGTTGATTTCAACCCTCACGGATGACTTCCAGGGGTTTAAGACTTCAGTAGAGAAAGTAACTGCAAATGTGATAGAAACAGCATGAGAACTAAAATTAGAAGTGGAGCCTGAAGATGTGACTGAATTGTTGCAATCTCATGATAAAACTTAAACAGATGAGGAGTTGCTTCTTACGGATGAGCAAAGAAAGATTTGAGATGGAATCTACTCCTGGTGAAGATGCTGTGAAAAGTGCTGAAATGACACCAAAAGATTTAGAATATTACAGAAATTTAGTAGTGGTACCAGGAATAAAAATTTAAGAAATTTTTAACTTTTCCAAAAAAAAAAAAAAAAATTAGATGAACAACATAAAAGCAACCACCCAGCAGAGTGCCTGACCTACAGTAAGCACTCCGTAAATGCCAGTTTTTGCACGCACAATATATTATAGTGATTAAGAGCGTAGGAAATAAGGTCAAACTGCCAGAAAAGATCACTTACTAGCTATGACTTCAGACAAGTTATTTCTGTTCCCTCCTCTTTAAAATGGAGATGATAATCTCAAAGGTCTATGTAATAAATAAGATAATCCCTCTAAAGAAATCAGCACAGTGCTGAGCACATTAGTATTCATTAAATGCTACCATTCGTTAATACCCAAGGACACACAGCCTTAAGGGACAGTGATATTGATTCTATGATATTCTCTCCCTCACTTCAGATCCCCCAATGCTTCACTGTCTCCTTAAAAAAAAAAAAAAAAAAAAAGCCCATCTGAAGTTTTTCCCCCAACAAAATACGCCTGGTACAAATCATAGCTTGTGTTCTTTGTCCCTGACCATACAGTGATATTGAAAGAAGTACTATCTAGGGGCGCCAGGGTGGCTCAGTCGGTTAAGCATCTGCCTTCAGTTCAGGTCCAGGATCCCAGGGTCCTGGGATCACACCTGGTATTAGGCTCCCTGCTCAGCAGAGAGCCTGCTTCTCCCTCTCCCTCTGCTGCTCCCCCTGCTTGTGCACGCACGTGTGCTCTCTCAAATAAAATCTTTAAAAAAAAAAAAAAGATGTGTGACGCCTGGGTGGCTCAGTTGGTTAAGCAGCTGCCTTCGGCTCAGGTCATGATCCCAAGGTCGTGGTATCGAGTCCCCACGTCAGGCTCCTTGCTTAGAGGGGAGCCTGCTTCTCCCTCTGCCTGCCACTCCCCTCTGCTTATGCACGCACTCGCTCTCTGACACATAAATAAAATCTTAAAAAAAAAAAAAAAAAAGATGTTAAATGGTTTGGTCCTTACTGTGTTTTCTCTTAAGTGAATCACAATAGCTCAAGACTATTCCTTATCAGTTGCCTATGATGGAACCTGCAAAGTATGCCTAACATACTTTGCTTCCCTTTATTGCCTAAGTCTGAGCAACTCTTCTCAAGAAAGTGGTTGATGGTGGTATAAGAAGTCACAGGTATCCCATGCTGAGCCCACGGAGGGACAAGATGAAACCCAATCTGAGTACAAAATATAAAACTATGCTTTAAATTCCTTAAGAAATGAACAATGGATCTTGAATGATCAATCTTAGGTCACTCTGGAAGGGACATGTCAGACATACATAAAAAAATAAATGTAGGGGTACCTGGGTGGCTCACTCAGGTGGGTGTCCAACTCTTGATTTCAGCTCAGGTCATGATCTCATGGGTCGTGGGACTGAGCCCTCTACTGGACTCCGCACTCAGCTGGGAGTCTGCTTGAGATTCTCTCCCTCTGCCCCCCACCATCCCCCTCAAATAAATATATCAAAATCTTTAAAAATAAATAAATGTAAAAGTCTCTCAATCTGGAAAGATACAAAGTACTGGCTCCTTTAGGATAGGTATGGCTAAACTCCCACATGAAAATATAGTAAAGCAGGTCATAATGGAAGAAACAGTAGACATCTGGAAATTACGTAGGACCGTATGGTAAGAATAATAAACATCTAATGAAAAGAGTCAATAAACAACAAAGTGTCCAAGTCACAGCTTGTTTCTCTTTATTTTCCTGGTCACCTGGTTAGAACTTGATTGGAATTCAGATTTCAGAATTCAGACAGATTTCCATCCCTTAACACGCAAGGGAATTTGCCTTTTAATCTACAAGCAGCAAATGGAAAGAAAATTTTTACATTTAGAATAAGAGAATTTTAAAACAATGAAAAATAGCAGGCAGAATGACAACACTTAGAACAATGGAACAGTCAAAATTGCCTATGACTGTCAAAACAGTCACAGGAGCTACATTTGAATCCAGTGAAGAGGGTGTGTCTATATTAAGGAAGGAACCAAAGCAACCATTAACAGTTTAGTTTGGGGAATTATAATAGTACTGGGTATCATTCTTCTGTTACTAATGCAATAGCAAAACAAGAGCAAAAAAGGAAATGAATGAAACAAGGATAACATGGAAGGAGAAAAAAAAAAAACACAAATGTGCCCCCCTCTTTTCTTTTAGAGAGGGAGAAGGGGAGGGGGCAGGGTGAGTGGGAGAGGGAGAGAAAATCTCAAGCAGGCTCCACATGGAGCCTGTGCTCTGTGTGGAGACCAACATGGGGCTCCATCTCACAATCCTGGGATCATGACCTGAGCCGAAATCAAGAGTTGGACACTTAGACTGAACCACCCGCACCCTAATGTTCCCTCAAATAGGATTAACATTTCAGAAAAACATGTTGGATGAGAAGCACTGATCATAATGAAAATTCTGAGAGGGAATGTAAAGAACAGAAGGACAAGATTACCTAGTAAAACTAAGATACTATAGAGAAACCTTGACAGAAAGAAACATTAGGGAGAGCACACAAAGAGCACCTGTAAAGAGAGAAACAGAGTTCCAAAGGGGACTGATTTTGAGGGAGGGGCAAAAGGAGACAGACCTAAGACTTGAGAGTAGGAAAGGTACTGAAAGTAAATTTCCTGGTTATATATGGATAAACACAAAACTTACAAAACAGTATAAAATGAGCCTATGGATTTTTAAAATCTAGAAAAATATACACCAAACTTCTTCACTCAAAATTCTAGGTGCTGAACCTTTCTGGAGAAAGTCCTAAAACCAATCTTCAGCAATCTCTAATTCCCTATGACATTCTTCCACAGTAGCAAGACCAAATCATCTGCATACTCAAGCCCTCAACTCTTAACACATGACCTTATTCCTCCTTATGAATATACTGAAGCCATGAATGAGTTCCAGTCCAAATTCATTCACCTAATTGCTGACAAACCCCCACTGATTCTACTTATGGGTTTTTATTTATTATTTATGGATTATTACCCACAACTGACTCCCTTTTCTACTTTAAGCCTTATCTCACCTAGAAAATAAGGATAGTCTAAACATTTTCTTGGTCTCCATTCTCTTCTAATTTCAAGTTATCTTACTCAACCCTCCAAGATAAAATTGACCTTTAAACTTTATCACTCTCTGCTTTACTTCATTCCTCAGCCAAATATTAAAACAATCTATAACGTGATCCAAACCAACCTTTCCTATTCATCTTTTTTTTTTTTTTTAAAGATTTTATTTCTTTATCTGAGAGAGAGCAAGCACATGAGAGGGGGGAGGGTCAGAGGGAGAAGCAGACTCCCCGCCGAGCAGGGAGCCCGATGCGGGACTCGATCCAGGGACTCCAGGATCATGACCTGAGCCGAAGGCAGTCGCCCAACCAACTGAGCCACCCAGGCGCCCTCCTATTCATCTTCTAAAACGGATTATTTGTCCCACGCAAGTCAAATTCCTTAACACTTTCACAAACATACCACGCACACCTTCCCTTCACTCCTTCCCCCCTAGAGCTACTATCTGGGCACTTTCTCCCTGCTTGCCTTTCAATATTTTATCTATCAAAATCATCCTAGAGGACAATCTGCAGTACACCTAAGTGTTTTAAAACATGCAATGCAATAAGCAAGGCAATTCCACTTTATTAAACATGATTTTTGGGATGCCTGGGTGGCTTAGTCAGTTAAGTGCCTTCGGCTCAGATGATCCCAGGGTCCTGGGATCGAGTTCTGCATTAGGCTCTCAGTGGAGATCCTGCTTCTCCTTCTGTCTGCCACTCCCCCCTGGCTTGTGCTCTTTCTCTGACAAATAAAATCTTCAAAAAAATAAACAAACATGATTTTCTTTCTTGAGTCTTCCCATGTATTCTCAAATTTTTACCTGAAATTCCTATTGCCTGAAATTTCATGCCTGAAATTCCTATTGAGTTTTAAAGTATTATCCAGGCAATTCTACAATCCAAGGGCATTCTACACCATTGTATTCACGTATGTATTCATTTCTTAGAGAAAAGTTACAGTACTTGGAGTGCACAAGAGATAATAGTTTAGCATTACCAAAGCAAAAAATAAGCAGGCAATGACAAAAAAATGAAATTACAGATCAACTCATAGAAAGCAGCCTTATATGGGGTACCTGTGTGGCTCAGTGGGTTAAGCATCTGCCTTAGGTCATGATCCTAGGTTCTAGGATCAAGCCCCCCTCTGGCTCCCTGCTCAGCAGGGAGTCTGTTTCTCCCTTTCCCTCTGCCCCTCCCCCAGCTCATGCTCACAGGCACTCTCAAATAGTCTTTAAAAAAAAAAAAAGAAAGCCTTATATGGCACACTGGTGAAGTTATTTGTTCTTGACATTATTCCACAGATGATGAAGAACCACTCAAGAGTTTGAAACAAAAGGAAGATATGTTCGTATTTTCATTTTAGTTTACACAGAGTAGTTTGAAGAACAGACAAGGTGGTGGGGGATGCAAGAATGAAAACAGGGAACACAAGTGACCTATTGCAATAGTCTTGGAAAACGATAGGAGGGCATAAAATTAGGGCATTGATATTACAGATACAAAAATACATAGGCAAGAAAATGGACAGAATTAGTGTTTGACTAGATTTGAAGGGAAAGTCATTAGCTTTTGCATTAGGCAATAGGCCATTAACTAAAAATTTTTAAAAAAGTAGTTTGAAGGAAAAAGGTAAACATTCATCTTCTTGAAATACAATTCATCATCCTACATACCTACATACGCAAAGACATCCCACTGCCCAAAATAAAAACCTACATTTTAGCCTACAACTGAAGGCCTCCATGGACCAGTCTGAGGCTTAATTCTAACATTATCTCCCTCCACTTCCCTAAATGAAGCTTATGTTCTAGTCAAAGTAACTTGTATCCATTAACATTCTCACCTCTGTGCCTTAGCTTATACCACTTACCTGCCAGAAATGCCCCTTCCTTGCTTCAATCTCATTTCCCTGCTCTACTCTTCTGACCCATTCTTATACAAAACACCTCTCACTAAGTTTAACTTGATACCCATATCTCACATAAAATTGTACTGATTTCATAAAAATGTTTACCATGAATGTATCTCCTTTTTGGAATTTGACTTAAACAGTAAGTAAATAGTGACTCCTCTAACAGGCAAAATCAAGGAAGAAGGGATTCAAAAAGGAAATGAAATGTCATTAGATGCCGAAACTTTATTTGTCCAATAGTTTTTCGGCCCTCCTCACTCTAAAAGGCTGACTTTCACTTCTAGATACTTTCAATGTGCCTAATTCTAGCAGCTATTCTTATTTCTACTTTATTGTTTAACTTATACATACCAGACAAAATCGTATCTAAAACTTATTCTGAGGGAGAATCTAGAGGAACCCAGGAGAAAAGTTTCATTATTTGGACATTTATGACATTTTAGCTGTTCAAAGAAAACTTTTTAATTTTATTTAAGTAACCTTTTGAGCCCAATGTGGGGCTCAAACTCACGAACCCAAGATCAAGAGTCGCATGTTCTTCCAACTGAGTCAGCTAGGCACCCCAAGGACACTGTTTTATTCTCCACTACATTCTGAAGAGTTGAAATTGCCAGAAAATCTTTAGCACAGTGAAGCACCACCATAATGATCACCTCAATGTAATTCTCAGGCAAATATTATACAAAATGACTAGCAAAATGTAAAAACTGGGATTCTTGCCATCAGAGTTACTATTTAGTCATGTAAAACAGAATACTCTTAAAAAAACATAAGACAATATGAGCAATATTTAAGCAATGTAGGACAATAGAATAACATGGCTGTAGAGTTGTATAAAATTATAAATGACTGAAGAGACAATAAATGATACAGCAACTCAAAGGAAAAGATCTTTTTTCAAGTAATGAATGGAGAAAATAGAAGGAAAAAAAAGGTTCCAAGAAAGGTTTCACAGACCTTGAGTGACACAGAACCTTTTGATCATAGAGAGGCAAGTCTGGTGAACTGAAGTTCTCAATATTTGTTGTATGCTACCCTGCACTGTTAAATATTTCATGTTTACAAAACATTTAAGTTTACAACCGTAAAAAGGACTCCTAATGCAGAGTAAAGACAAGACTAATACAAGCTACTTATCAATCTGCTTAAAAAGAAAATAAAGTACCTACATGGAAGAAGTATGCAAAAAAAAGTTCTTACCTTGAATATACCAACCCAATCTTTTGGATGTGGATGGATATATGCAGTTAAGGTGTAATGACATTCCAGGTGTGCATTAGGAAGGTAACTCTTGGCCACATTTTGAAAGATGACATGGGCAAAGTTGGAAGTCTGCAAGGGGACTTCTTGAAAGGATGTCATTGTGAATCTGAAACAAGCAAATCATACAAGTTGAATGATACCAACTAACAAAAAACTTATACCTCAGAAAATACTGAATACACTGAATGCAAAGTACATGAGCATTTGTATGCCATAATTATTGAGAAGATACATACTTGGAACTCCTTAAAAACATGGTTAAATATAAAAATCCACAGAAACTGGGAAATAACAATTTCCAAAATGGCTCAGAAAGTCATATGGGGATTAAAAAATTTAAAAACCAAGATTCTCTCTCCCCTCTGCCCCTCCCCCACCATGCTCACACCTGCACGCTCTAAATAATTAAATCTTTAAAAAAAATCTGCAAGACACCAATGTTTTCCATATTTTGTGCTCTACTTTTGGGAAAAAGATACAACTGAGGATTTACTCAAAAAAGCTATCTATAGGGCGCCTGGGTGGCTCAGTCGTTAAGTGTCTGCCTTCGGCTCAGGTCATGATCCCAGGGTCCTGGGATCGAGCCCCACACCGGGCTCCCCGCTCGGCGGCAAGCCTGCTTCTCCCTCTCCCACACCCCCCGCTTGTGTTCCTGCTCTCGCTAACTCTAATAAAAAAATAAAAAATAAAATCTTTAAAAAAAAAAAAGCTATCTATACAGTATCACACAAATTCAGTACAATTACTGATTATTGATTCTACACTACACATAAAAAACTATGACAATGTCCCTATGGTACTTGCTTCTAAGTCATCACGAAAATCTCTGTGATGGGAAAACCGGGGCCAGATTTTTCCTAACCAAATTAATTTACTTCACAAATCAATAAAGTCTCTACAGGGCAAGCACAGCAGTTAGTCTCTGCTCAATTTAAATATTAAGGAAATCTTTATTGCTAAGAAGATCTAAGACAACATGCTTTCACAGTGTTTCTTTTGCTGACCTGTTTGAAATACTAAGGCAAATTTTTAAAGTTTCATAATAAACACTTCAGAAAATATCCACTTTTCTTCTGTATCTTCTCTGCTTCTGTTAAAGTACTGCTTTACTGAAACATAAAGAGACTATCAATGGTGAACCTGGAAGCCACTGTGGTAGAATGCCAGTCTGGTTGTCCATTAGCCGCTCCCCAACCTGAGCTTCGCCAGGATTCCAAGAAGAGTGCATTCAGTAGCAATCCTCCTACACCTCTGCACTAACAAAATGGCTTAACTACCAGCAGCCCTATTCCACGGAAGGATTTAACTATCACTACATTTAACTATGCCAAAGCCTTCAATAAAATGAAAAGGTAGCGCTTACTTACAAACACTGAGAACTCTTCCTAAAATAAATGAAGAGTTTTATTACTTTCTTTGAATTGTCTGAGCTAATTTGGGCTCATGGGGATGTCATGAACTAATAAAGTCACTAATGATAATCTCTTTTCAAGTCAATGGCTTCATAAAGAAGGAAAAAATAACCGATTGATTCCAGTTTTGAAAAACCATTCACTAATGGTTATACCAGTTAAGAGAAACAATAGCTAAATCAATGAAACCAACCTCTAGCAGATCCAACTACCAAAACTGAGTAAAGTGAATTAGTAATATTTTCCTACAAAGAAAATGATTTAGATTTCTCTGAGGAAAGCATTTGGTAAGGAGAAACTAAGGCTAGCTTAGAATGAGCTGCCAATGTTTTTAATTAAAAGTAATTTAAAAATGAAACTTTTTCTTAAAACTTGACATGTTTCCTAAAGTAAACTAAATCAACAAAGCTGTAATTATGTTTTATGTCAGTGAAGTTTAAACTTTTGTTTAACCTCAACTACACAATGTTTTACAAATCCATAATCCGGGTGCCTGGGTGGCTCAGTCGGTTAAGCATCTGCCTTCAGCTCAGGTCATGATCCCAGGTCCTGGGATCGAGTCCCACGTCCGGCTCCCAGCTCAACAGGGAGTCTGCTTCTCCCTCTGCCTCTGCCTACCGTTCTGCCTACTTGTGCTCTGTCAAATAAAATCTTTAAAAAAAATAAAAATCCATAATCCAACCTTACACTTTCACTTCACTGAAAAGCTAAAGTAGAAAAATAGCAGGAAGGTATACATCTATGTATTTATGTATGAGGGACATGTGTGAAGACTTTTAACCTAATTGTTTACCAGTACATATAAACACATTTTCATTTTAAATATATTAACATGAAATTTCATTTTTAAACCTTCCCCCCAAAATTCAAGTTTTTAATAGAACCTAACATCAGACTTTAAATATACTCGATTATAAATCTTATGCATAATATAATTTGTGATCATCCTACTAACCTTTATTAATCTCTATCCAACACTTCAACCTTTTTAAAAATTTCAGTGAAATTTAACTATAGAAATGTTTTACAAGTCATTCCACTCTCATTACTAGTTTTTTAAACTTTTTTAAAAATTAAATTCCAGGGGTGCCCGGGTGGCTCAGTCGTTAAGCGTCTGCCTTCAGCTCAGGTCATGATCTCAGGGTCCTGGGATCGAGCCCCGCATCGGGCTCCCTGCTTGGTGGGAGGCCTGCTTCTCCCTCTCCCACTCCCCCTGCTTGTAGTCCCTCTCTTGCTGTGTCTCTCTCTGTCAAATAAATAAAATCTTTAAAAAAAAAAAAATTAAATTCCAATATAGCTTCTAGTCATAAGAAGTTAACAAGGGTAAATGTAATCTCAATGTAATTACCACATGAATCAACCCATTTTAAATAGTAAAACAAAATTTCCCATATAATTCCTGTTTCACTACTCACTCAGATAAAATGAATGAAAAGAGGAAACATAAAAATGCTGAAATTCACTGAGAATGTCAATTTATCAAGATGATTCAGACATTTATACAATATCGCATGTGCACACACACACAGGACACACACAGCCCAGTGGGGAAGTAATGTGCAAAGTCACTGCATCACCTTGTGGTAATGCTTGGGAAGTGTAGCTTCACTAACATTCTAAGAACAAACTGCACCTCAGCTGGAGAGGAAACACAGCCCCCCCTACACAAAAAGGGAAGTGGAATCAGCTGTACTATACCAAATTTTGCTTCCCATTCTCTAAAGTACATCTACAGAAACATGGGTACATTAAGATGCAAGCCAAGGCTAAGCAAAAATTTTCCACTCAAGAATTAAAGAACCAAACACATTCAGCTGAGAAACAAAGTCTGAAATGCATATACATGATGCCTGCAGTGGCTTCTTCCATGTATCCTACTATATTTCCACAAAGGTCCAACATGTCTAGAGTTCCTTTGCATGTGCTATGCTGTAAACTTTATACTATAAAATCTTTGGTCTAAAATCCAATTTTGTTATTTGGGGGGTTCATCAATATCTAAGGAAAAGATAGTAATGTGCAGTGGGCACTTCAGTTAAGTAGCTAAAATAAATGGGGGGTTGCAGAAGGTGGAAGCACTTTGTTATCTTTATTTCTTTCTCCTGGAACTTTTTCAAGCCCAAAACAAATCTGGCTTTTGTGGTAGTATCCTTCCAGTGGCTTCTGATACTCATTTTATTGGACGAGGCCAAAAATGTAAGCCTTAGTCAACTAAACTAGAAAATACACATACTAATTTTGTTCTGTGTCATGTGACTGTGGTGGCTGTATTTTTTTTTTTTTCCCCCAAAGGCCTTATGAAGTTAAAGATACTAAACTAATGGTAAGGGAAATATCCTGATGTCCAGGATTTGCTTTAAAAACTCCTGGGGAAAAAAAATGTACTGGGGGAGGTAATAAAACAAGTTTAGTAAAACGGTAGTTCCTTTTACTATTTGTTCTCCTTTTGTGTATAAGTAAAGATCAGTAATAAAAACTCCACGTATGACCTACCGCAATAGGAACACATGTAATGTAGGGAATGGCAAACTTAGCAGAAAGTTTTTAAAATCTTCAGTTAAAAGTACATGAACATTTAAAATTATCTCTAAACTTCAGTCTCATAGGGCACACAAATATCTGAAGGAAAAACTGACATTCTAACAGTTTAATTATTCATACTTTAGCTCAAAGACTATCAGCTGGTTTATAGAGCACAAAAATGTTATCTGCTATCTTTCTGGGAGGCAGAACCAAAACCAACAATCCGTTAATTAACACTCTTAAAAACATCACTTATATCTAGATTTCTTCACAACTGAGTGCCACTACACTCTACCCAGATGTTACTAATACCACTTTTATTTACTCTGTAGATTGTTTTAAAAGGTGGTTTCTAAAAAGTTTAACTTGGCCCATATAATGAGGGAATTTTTATCTTTTTGTAAGGGTTTATTTGGGCCAAAATACACTTTAAAAAGCCAGAAGAGCATACACCCAATATTTTACTTACGGTAATATCAAAATTCCAAAAGAATAAAATCCAATAAATTTCGCATATGTATTCCCCAAAATATTCCCCCAAAGAAGTACATGAACATCGTTAGGACGTTTCATAGTTAACATTAAATGGCTACAGCCATAACCGTAAACAGAGGTATGCAACTTAATGTGATGACGAGAAAACTACAATAGGATGTCCTCTGAAGCTGCAAAAAAATAAAGTTAAAAAAAAAAACCTAATAAGTCATTTCTAACGTAATCAAGTAATTCTTCAAGAGATCGAACCCACTCTAGATAAGAACAAAACAAAGGCTTGGCCTCAGCCTTCTCTAGACATGAATTGTACTGTGAGGGGCAATCAGCCCCCTTTTATATTAACATGCTATTCAAAAATCTCTTTAAATGCTTTGGAACTGAGCACCAAAACGATAATTACTGCACAGTCCGCGCTCAGTCTGTAGAAATTTTACAATGAGCGTAAAGCGGAGTTGAAAAGTTAAACTTTCCCATCTAAATCCTTGTCATAAAAGCAATTCGTAACTAAACTGTGATGCCTAAAACGTAATATATGTAGAAAGCCAAATGCCACAGTGTTTTCAAACATAACTATTACAGAAAAGGTAATATAGGTGTATCAACAGTCACACACAACCCCACCCCCACACATGTCAAACAAAGATTGCCCCAGGCGATGAGCGCTGGTCCGGACTAGCCCACAACTGGCAGACCTGCCGGGTGCTGGGTGGGGTAAAGAGGGAGTTGTGAAATCAAGAAAAGTTGCCTAAGCAAAGGAAGACGTGACTCTCCTCAGAGATCCCTCCGAACACTAAACGTAGGGGCTATCTACAAACCTACCAAGAAAAGCGTTTGCTAGACCTGTAGCCCAGGTGAAGTACGCGATCCGGGAACCTACAGCTAACTCCGCCCCCTGCCCCCAGACGTAGGCGGCGCAGTGAGTCTCCGCCTCTTTCTCCACAGGCGACACAAACCAAAACACCTGAGTTTCACCCCACCCGGGCCAACCCGAGTCTCGGACTCGACCTGTTTTCCCAAGCTAACCCACGCCAGGAGCACACATACTGCCCTCAAAACACACCCTAAAATTGGGCATCGAGCAAGATAGGTTCTTCTTCAGGGGTCCCCCGCGTCACTCGCCCCCGCCAAAGTGCCCACGTCCCACACGGCTCCCCCAAACAGCGAAGGCCTATCCCGGGGCCTCCCCGCCGTGTGGGGCGGCCACCCGTCGTTTTTTCCATCCCCACTGCTAACCGAAGTTGCCACCACCCCCGTCACAATCGTAGTCCAGGAGGAAAAGTTTGTCCTCGGGAAGGAAAGCATCGTCATTTGGCTGCATCGTCACCAGGAGATCATTCCGCAGACTGGCCAGGCCCCTAGACCCTAAGAGCTGAGGTGCGTATCACGAACCCCCAAAGAGCTCCAGCTGGGGACCGCCCCGCAAAATGTGCTGGAGGCGGCCGGAGAAGGCGCTTACCCAGCGAGGAGCTCCGGGACAGAAGGAACGTTAGAGAGGCTTCCGAGCTTGTACCGCCATCAGCCGCCGAACCTCTTCCGCCACCACAACCACCCTCCGAGCCAGCTCCACCTCCCCCTAGGCCCGAAAAGCCGGCGTTGCGTCACTTCCGGCTGCGGGGCCGCCCCTTCCGCCGCCGCTGCCGCCGCAGCCACCGCGCAGAGTGGGCCCTGCCGATCGGCTGAAACACGGCGTCCGCACCTGTGGTTTTTTAAAACCTACCCCGCCCGCGGAGCCAAAAAGTCCAGGCCGACCTTTTACCTCCGCTTGGCCTCGCGGTAGTTAGTCACAGACCTAGTCAAGCAGGGTCCCTTTGGATTCGCATTTTTCATTTTTAAATTTTTACTCTAACCGGTAAGTTAGGTAACTTAAGTTAGGTTGGAAGGGTAGTCCAAAGGTATATGGACTATTACCATGTCATTGCCTGGATCTTAAAAATCTAAGTGAATCTATTTATTTTATACATCAGGAAGTAGGGAAACGATAGAAGTAAGGGAGCGACCACATGGTTAGGGCTGCAACCCCTAACTCCAAGGCTCTTTCCCAACTCCTGGTCCAGTCCTGTGCTTGTTTAACTGTGAGATTTTGTTCACTAGAAGACCTCAGTTCTAGGAGCGTTTCAGTTCCAATGCTCTATGATTCTATTTCCTCTTGCTCCAGCAGTGGCCTCTTTCTGCCCGCACTTCTATGAGTGATTACCTGCTTTTCTTATCTGAGTTCTTTTGTGTGTGTGAATTTTGTCCTGTATTCTCTGTTCAACTATATTTTCTAAAATCACTTCGGACTGTTATGTGTCTTACCTTCCTATAGTAGGCATTCAGATTGCATCCTAAATCTACAGAAGCAAGTGTATTCTGTTCTAAGGCATCATATTCCTGTGTTTCTATAAAACCCTTATAAAATCTTCAGTATCCCCAGGGCGCCTGGGTGGCTCAGATGGTTAAGTGTCTGCCTTCGGCTCAGGTCATGATCCCAGGGTCCTGGGATTGAGTCCCACATCGGGCTCCCTGCTCCTTGGGAGCCTGCTTCTCCCTCTGCCCCTCTCTCTCTCTCTCTGTCTCTCATGAATAAATAAATAAAATCTTTAAAAAAAAAAAATCTTCAGTATCCCCGGTAGAGAAAGGATAATTAGATCACATTAATCGCTCTAAATACAGAACATACAAAATCTCATATTCTTTCATTTTTACTTCCGCATATTTAAGATTACAATCCCTTCCGTAATACAGGATCTCAGTGTTAGCTGATTTGTTTCCTATATATTGAAATCTTTGAACTTAGTTCTGTTCTGTATAGCATACTTGATGGTAGAATTTCAGAAGAACTTTAGAGTTCATTTAGTACCAACCTCCTTATTTTACAGAGGATGAAAATGGTGTGATAATATCAGTAATCACTAATGTTACTAGTAGCAGTCTTCTAGTAGTGGAAATATCTGTGTCCCTTAAGAAATGTAAATATAGTAGTGAACTTTATAAGCACAATTTTTCAGAGGTGTCACCCTATGTTTTAACCACATTTATTTACATGTAATAAACCTCTAATTGCCACCAATTTTCAGTTAATGAAATCAGAAAAACAATATGCTTAATAAAGCCATAATTGGAAAATATTTTTGTGCAAGTATTTTTACTTTATTTTGTTATTTTTGATAATATCTTGAATTTTCAGACCTTATTTTCCCTATGCACGCATTTGTTTAGGAACTTGCTTTAATCCATTTAGTAAAGATCCCTTGAATTTTCAGACAATGTTTCTCCCAGCAAGATAAATATATATCCTTTCAGTATTTAATTGTATTCTTTGAAATTTGCCCTTTCTATTTATAGCAGTGTACTAAGGCCATAAAGGATATGGATCCACACATAAAACCTTTGGGCCAAATGGATTTCAGAATTAAGAATTTTTTAGACTTTAGAAAAGTGTACTTACTTTATGTTACATGACATCCCACAAGGTCTCTAGCAGCACTTCATAATCAAGTTAACATTTTTTAAGAAAAATTATGACTATCACACTGCGAAGTACGATAAACAAAGCATACAGTCTTCTACTTCAGCTCAGATCAGGTTTTTCAGATAAGGTTTTGCCACTTTGCTAAACCATGGGTTTAGGTCAAGTTTTACTGACAAATGAGTTCAAGTCAAGATAGGTTTTGCCACCAAATGTTAAGAAAACATTTTATTTTCAAAGTTTTTTGTATTTCAAAATAGTGAATAAGGGACTGTAGACCTGTTAAAAGAACTGTTGGAAAGTAAATCCCTCAGTCTCCCATGATATTTCTGGAACAATTAAAATTTCAAGTAGTTTCTGGATGCCCGGGTGGCTCAGTCGGTTAAGCGTCTGCCTTCGGCTTAGTCATGATTCCAGGGTCATGGGATCGAGTCCTGCATCTGCTCCTTGCCCAGCAGGGAGCCTGCTTCTCTCTGCTGCTACTCCCCCTGCTTGTGCTTGCACGTTCTCTCTCTTTCTGACAAATAAATAAAATTTTTTAAAAAATAATAAAATAAATTTTTAAAAAACCAATTCCAAGTAGTTTATAGATAGTTGTCCTAATCTATCACATGCCACCTATCCCATGTTTGACTGAGCAAATACCTAAAAGACACCATTCCTCTATTAGAAGAGCTTATGATAACAAAGGGAAGAAAATAAAGGAATCTATGAAAATATGGGTGACTAAAATATAAAATATAGTAAAAAAATTAAAATGAAGTATAAAATAAGATATTCAGAGATGAGAGAACTCAGTATAAGCTTTTGTGAACAGTACACTTTTCTTGGAGGAGGTAGGCCTATTGCCTATTCTGTTAAAGTTAAGTAGGGTTTTGATGAAGAGATGGAAGGAAGAAGACCCCAAGTCAGGATGTAAGAGCTTGGGCAAAGAAGTCTGGTAGGGAGAAGATCCTGAACAAAAAATAATTCCCATCTGTGGAGTACTCAGTGCTTGCCAGACACTCTGCTGGATGCTTAGGTTGCCTGCACCCCTCACAACACCCCTGTAAGGTATCACCCCATTTTTCAGGGGAATGTGGGTTCAGAAAAGTTAAACACCTTGCCCATGATCATGAAAAGGGCAAACCAGACTTGCACTCAAATCTATGACTCCCAAAATTCATACATCTACCATGCCATGCTGTTTCTTGATAAGTGCCTTTTGATCATGTATTATGTGCTTTGGGTTATGCCGGGTGCTCTGAGAAAACAGAATAAACCATGGTAGGAAATAGAGAAGTAAAGGAGAAAGAAGGATTGATACAGATTCAATTAATTTTGAATTAGCAAGACTTCATTAAAGAAACTGAAGTAGGCTTTGAAAGATGAACAGGGGGCTCCTAGGTGGCTCAGTCGGTTAAGCATCTGCCTTTGGCTCAGGTCATGATCCCAGGGTCTTGGATCGAGCCCTGCATTGGGCTCCCTTCTTGGTGAGGAGCCTGCTTCTCCCTTTCCCTCTGCCACTCCCCCTGCTTGTGCCTGCTTTCTCTCTGTCAAATAAATAAATAAAATCTTTTTTAAAAAAGTTGAACAGGATCTGAAAAGGAAGAGAAAGGGCTTATGTGGAAAGAATGATTAAGAGGGCACAAATTTGACAAATAGGTGGTACAACATGGGCTGAAAATTAGAAAAACTAAGTTCAAATAGACATGTTATAGAAATGCCATTACGGGTTTTGAAAGCCAGGCAAAATAAATTATTTTCATCTTTTGATTTTCCTTAGACTTTGTATTAAAGATTCCCTTTGCCAGAAATGATTCTTTCCTTAAAAATTAATACATCTATAAACCTTTATTTTATAAAGAGAATGAATAATGGTAGGTTTTGGTTAGAGAGAGATTCAAAACACTCTGTGGTTATTTTCTCTTACTCTATATTGGGAGATGGTCTTGATGTACTCTTTGCCCATATTGCCTCTCCTCTGCTACTCTCCCAGATGTTTGTAAACAACTTTGCTCCTTTGGGGTGCATACCAATCAGTTATTACCTGATCTTCTGTCCTTGTTACTATCCTCTGCTGGTCTCCAAGTCATTCTTCCTCATTCTCTGAAGAATATCACCTAGAGCAGTCTTCCTCTCCATTCCAAGCCCTTCAGTATCTCCTTGGATGAGATTAAAATTAGAAGGCCACCATGCTGGCCTCCTAATTTCTTGAACCCCTTCATCTCAAATAACTTCCTCCACTCCACTCCACATATCTTATTTCCATGCTCATACCTTGGACCTTGTCACCACCCATAACTGCTTCACCTTTAAAAATTAAGCATTCTGCTCTTTGACAACAACCTTCTATTCTTCTAACTTGCTTATTCAAATGTGCCCACTATAACTATTTCTCAAACCCATCGGGATCTCTAATCCATTCAGCTTTCTCCTTTTAATACTTCCTTTATTATCCAACTCTGAGTCCATGGACTCTCATGTCATTAACATTATATCCAATATCCTATACAATACTTTGATTTTCTATCTTGCAGGTTAAGTGCAATGTCCTATAACAAATGTGTTACAGACTCTGTAATCATCATATGCTTTACAACTAAAGGTTATGTCTGGGAATACTAAGTATAAACTTTGACATTAAAACTAAGTGTTTTGGGACTCAAGTGTCAATGGATAGATGAATGAATGAGGAAGATGTGGCATATACATACAATTACTCAGCCATCAAAAAGGATGAGAGCTTGCCATTTGTGACAACATGGATGGACCTAGAGGATATTGTGCCAAGTGAAATAAGCCAGAGAAAAACAAATAAAATATGATTTTGCTTATAGGTAGAATCTAAAAAAAAACCTACCACCAACAAAATTAATAAACAAAAAGCAGAAACAGACACATAAATACAGAGAACAAACTGATGGTTGCCAAAGGGGTTTGGGGTAGGAGGATGAACAAAATGGGTGAAAGGAAGTGGGAGATACAGTTTTAGAATGAATAAGTCACTAGGATGAAAGGTACAGCATAGGGAATGTAGTCAATGGTACTGTGATAGCATTCTATGGTGACAGATGGTAGCAATGCTTATGAGCATAGCATAATGTATAAACTTGTCAAATCACTATGCTGTACACCTGAAACTAATGTAACATTGTGTGTCAACTATA